ATATATATAAAACATCATAGCCTATTCTTTACAGTTCAGTCAAATCCTGATGTATTCAAAAAAGTCCTATTCTGAATATTTAGTCAATTGTCTTTCAAACCTGTAACTGTACTACAGTTTAAATCTGAATTAGATAAGAAAGCGAGAGGACGTCCTAACAGCGTTTTGCAGTTAACAGAGACCACAGGCCTTGTCTCGGACCCGATCTGAACAGTTTTGTCAGTCTTTTGACTGCATCTTGATCTGAATGAACAGCTAGTTTAAACACCGAAGCCGAACAAAATGGGTCACATTCAATAAGATCCTCGTTCAACCTTGTGTAGAATCATCCACGTTCTCTATACATTTACATTTGTCCAAATTTCTATAAAAACCTTCTCCCAGCACAGCATTCTCCCTCGGAAGATAAAGACAGCGTTAGAATGTGATTCCCTTTGGCTTAGAGGAGGTATAGGTGTCACCCTAATACATTAGCATTGTCCTCCGTTATAAATATTCTTCCAGCCCTTCCTCAGTCGGCTGCCTCTGAATGCTGCCACTCGCCGTGTGTATTGTGGAGAGCGCCAAGCCGTTCTGAATCCACTCTGTCTGTCTTTTATCAAACATTCCAACGCTTTGATAGTTTCCTCATTTATTTAGTGAATAGTTGGAGAGGAAGAAAGAATGAGAGAATAAAATAAGAGTTTTTACATTATGTAAATGGCGGAGGGGGGAGTTCGTCTCTAATCTCTCGCACGCTCATCACGGCAGACTTTTGCATTCCGTGATACTGCCCTCCTGGAAACCATTGTTGGGATTTCTAGCCTCGTTCCAGCCCGGCTCAATGCCTTTTAGAGGATTTTAATACACACGCCTTTCCTCACAACAACGTTTACAAGCCGCCGTTCAATAAAATCTCAAGTACCTCAATGTTTCCTTTGACTGGTCGCAGGCAAAGCATGAAGTATTATGAATGATACAAGAACATAAAAGTGGTTTTGAGTGTGTCTGTGTGTGCTCGCGTTGTATAATGCACTAATGCGCTCACACGCAGAGTCCAAAAATAACTTTTTACTGGATAGCGGGTGAATTGGATTCAGAAAGTTTACCGCCCGTTATTTCACACCAACTGTTAAACTTAAAGTCCCCCTCTAGTGAAAATCAAGTTTTTTATGTTGTTTATTTGTCTATGTGGTGTTTTTAATATGCTTTTAGACAAACCATGTGACAATCCATTAATCAACACCATTGCTGAGTATTTTCTCCTTAAAAGTGTAGTTTCCCAATGGCACTCCCAGAAATGTGGTTTGAAACAGCCCTAGGTTTGCTATGTCACAAACCAATAACCAATCACGTCAAGGGCTCGATTCCTATCACAAGCATGCAAAATATACCAATACCAGCACAAAACCAAAAATAAATTAGACCAAAAAACCCATGAGGCCGTGGTTTAATGTGAATTTAGAACTGATAACTTGCATTATAACCCGCGGCAACAGTATAAAAGTAGTCCGGAGTCAGACGCACCTCTCCCGCATCGGCGTCTGCACTTCACACGCAGATGTATGCTCGCGGGCGCAAATTAAGAATCACAAACGGCTGTATTCGAGTCTTCAAGGCATTTTGAGGACACAACATCGTCAAGTAAGTAACATTAACGAATATTACAGTATTCACTGTAGTTGTCCAGTAAAAACAGTTTTATCAGTCATTATCCGTGTATGCCATTGTTTTGCGTTTACTACATTTCAATGAATCAGGAGGTGCTGGCTGGTGTGAGTGAGTGGAGGTGGGGCTAATTTGCATATTCATAGATC